CAAAAAAGAGGACTTCCTCATGCACATATGCTGTTAATATTCAAATCTGGATATAAAATCTCTTGTCCTGAAGAAGTTGGTAAGATAGTATCATGTGAAATTTCTGACAAGAAGAAATATCTCATCTTCATTCTATTATTGTTAAACATAATATGCATGGTCCTTGTGGAAATATGAATCCGAAAAATGTATGTATGGAGGAAAATGAAGGTTGTAAAAATAAATATCCAAGAGATTTTTGTAATATTACTATATTTGGTCAAAACTCATACCCATTATATAAGCGTCGTGATAGTGGTATTTTTGTTCGAGTTAGAGGTCATATGTTAGACAATCGATGAGTTCTATCATATAATCCTTATTTAAGTGCAAAATTTGACAATCATATTAATGTTGAAGTATGTTCATCTATTAAAACTGTAAAATATTAATACAAATATGTGTACAAAGGATATGATCGTATCAATTTTTCAGTTTGTACAAATGAAAAAAAGAAAGAAATAGATGAAATTTTCGCTTACCAAACTGCTAGATGGATATCTCTACCTGAAGCTATGCGGAGGATTTTTTCCTTCAATCTGTCAGAAATTTGCCTGACGGTGTATTCTTTACAACTCCATATCGAAAATCATCAACAGGTAACATACGATAATGAAGATGATTTATCTACTGTTGTTCGGAACGAAAATACAAGAAAAACGATGTTGACAGAATTTTTTTAAATGAATGAATCAAATGAGTTTGCTCATACACTTTTATATCGAGATTTCCCGACACATTTTGTTTGAAATGCAAATAAAAAAAGTTGGACTTGCAAAAAGAAATAGGTTGTCATAGGACGAATTGTTACAGTAAATCCATCTGAAGGAGAATGATATTTTCTTTGTATTCTTATGAATCATATTCCTGGTCCAACATTATTTTAGGATTTACGAACCTTAAATGGAGTCACAGTTGTTACGTATCGAGAAGCAATTCTTTTACATGGTTTATTAAGTGGGGATGACCATTGTGAAGAATGTCTATTCGAATCTATTGTTTATGAAATGCCTATTTCTTTAAGACGACTCTTTGTTACACTTATTATGTTTTATA